TGCGGGGGGGGACACGGGACCTGCCCGCTCTGCCGCCGCCTCCCGCCTTTCCCCAGGCTGCGGCCGGCCCTGAGGGGGCTCCGCGGGGCGAGGGCTCCGCGCTCCCTGCGGACGCTGCTCCGCGCTGAGGCGCGGCCCGCCGGAGCTCTCTCGGGAGGGTTCCGAGGGGTGGCTGCGCGGTGCCCGGCGCTCGCAGTGGGCTCCCTTTAAACCTCCTTCCCGCAACCTAATTTTAGGTGCCACCTGCTGACCAGTGCTTGATTTCAAAGCTGAATTAATCTCCCAACTCAAAACGCGTCAGTCGAATTCAGCGGGTTTTTTTTTTTACGTGGGTCGCGATGGTTTCCCTCTCAAACGTGTATGTGTGTGGTTTTATTTTTTTTTTTTCTAACGATTCTCTATTACGGTATCTCCCTTCCTAACAAGAGGGGCGGCTGAGTCTTGCTTAGATCAGGAAAGATCAATCTTCTTGCCTCTAACTGCCTGTTCGCTTTGCTTTCTGGTTTCCGAAGAAACGCAGTTTGCTGTGGCTCTGTTCTTGCTCCCCTGGCTGTTGGAGTCAGTTAATGGTTCAGTGCTGTGGTAAAACCGGTCCCATTTTGAGAGTCTTGTCCCCTTCCTACACCTTGTGCCGAGGCCTTGGGGGTAGGCTGGTTGCTTCTGTCTAAAGGAGCTAAAAGATGGGGTTTAAAGTTTCTTCTACCTTTGCCAAAAACATTAGGAAGGAAAAAACGCAGCAAACTGTACTTTATTGTTCTGCGAAGATCAGTTCTGAGCTTTTTCCCTGCCGGATTTTCATCCAGTTGGTGAAAATGGTTTTCTAGTTAAGTGTTTTTCCTGAAATTCAGTGGGAGATATGTCAGATGCTGAGTTTAAAGTTTTCAGTGTTGTTCTAGTGCCAGTTTACGCTGTGTTTGATCGCAGTTCTGGCCAGCGGTCCTTAACTACTGCTACTGTCTTGAATTATCAAAATACAAAAACTAGAGCTGATCTCTTATAGATTTTATTCCTTGCATTTCTTTCATTTAGTTTATACAACAGATTAATTATTTTTTTATATATAACCATAGTCTTAATCGTAGCATAAAATGCACTTTTTGCTTTGGAATGTGGTTTTTTAGCTGCTTTCTGCTAGGTGTGTATTTTCATTCAACAAAGGTTCTCCGTTTTGATTGTTACCTGTTTGCTAATTTGTAAGCTATTAAAAACTTGCAGGTGGCTTTGTTGGAACTTGGTATGATCTCCTTAATCTTCTTTTGTTCTCTCTTCTTTGCAACGACCTGGGCTCAATAGACAGCCCTAAGCCTAGAATGTAAGTGTTTCGCCCAGTTGCACTAAGCACCATGAGAAGAGCAGGAGAGCCTTACTCAACGGGAGGATTATTCATGAGGCGTTTAGGGAGAAAGTTCAGTCTTTGAATTGTTCTGTGTCCACGTGTATACACTGAAACGCACCGAAGTAGAAGTACAACACGACATTCTGCAGCTTTTTGCTCGTCGGGTACTATGAGACTGAAGATCACTTTTTACTCTTTACTCTCTGTAGTATTTACCTTGTAACTTCAATTCCTGTGGGATTTAAATTCTCATCAGGCTTTAGTCATGCTGTAGCTTTAGACTTAGTGTCAGGTTTCCTATTGCATTACTCCTGTTAACTTCAGAGATCAAGGTAACACTTGCTTGGCTTTTTCCTCTCTGAGCTGAAGCCTTGTATGGGGAGGTTTTTAAGCCAGTGGGTTTTGATTTCGCTTCTTCATGTAGTAATTTTAATATTTCAGTTTATAGGTCATCAGGAAAAACATCCCTGAGTTAGTTCTTCACTTCTGCATAATTTTAAAATTGGTCATTTCTGAGATCAGTAATTAAGTCTTGATATTCTGTGTTAGGGTCCTCTGCCAGTGCCAGCTGTGTGGACTGCATAACAGGGTAGCATGACAATTTTTACAGAATCACAGAACAGTTGATATTTTGGAGGGATCTTTTGGAGATCATCTTGCCTGAGCAGAGCAGGGGCAGCTAGAGCAGGTTGGTGAGGACCTTGCCGGTTACGTTTTGAATGCGTCCAAGGATGGAGGCTCCACAACCTCTCCAGGCAGCCTGTTCTGGAGTTATTACTCTTTCATCATAAGAGTTTTTTTTCTTATGTTTATAAACTGAATTTCCTGTATTTCAGCCTGTTCCTGCTGCCTCTTGTCCCTTCCCTGGGCAGCATGGAGAAATTTGACTCAGTCTTCTTTGCTCCCTCCCATCCAGTATTTACACATGTTAGTAAGATCCACCCAAGCCTCTCTTCTCCAGGCTAAACAATTCCAGCACCCTCAGCCTCTCATTGTATGCAGGAATCTCTCATCCCTTAATTTTCACAGCCTTTCTGTGGACTTGTTTCTGTAGATCCATGTACTTTGGAGCCCAGAACTGGACGTGGCACTCTGGATGTGATTTCACCACTGCTGAGCAGAGGGGAGCAATCACCTCCCTTGGCATGCCGACAACGTTCTTCCTAACAGGCTTCTTTGCTTACATTGGGGTGAAAACCCTAAAAGAACAGAACTTGTAAGGGTCATCGCCTTGAGCCAGTGCTTGACATTGACCCCCTCTTGTCCCATGGTGGTGCTTTCAGAGTCAGAGTACGCAGTGATAATGTTTGAGCGTGGCCGCTGGCTCGCAGGATGCTGAAGTGCGCTGGGGCAGGTAACTTATGTGTGGGAAATGCAACAGCACAAATTGTCCAGCCTGGAGGTGCGTTTGAATAAATTTCAGAAGCTCTTCAGTCAGCCCAGCCTTTTCATTTTTAAGGGGAGAAAATGATGTAGGACATCAAATAACTAGCTTGTCATAGTTCCCTTTTCTGAGTGTGGTCTGTGAAACCCATGTTGCCGATTTAGAATTCCTGTTTCAGCTGATTTCTCAACTTTTTTCCTCATTTCCCCAAAACAGTAGAAGCCAGGCGTTTTGTTACCAATTGGTTAGATTCACCATACCTACCTCCCTAACATGTGACTTGTTAGATCAGTTACTTTAAAGTTTTATTTTTGGAAATTTCTGCCCAGGAATGTTAGAATACTGTTGTTTTGTTCACAAATTGAAGGCTGACTCAGGGTTTTTTTTTTTCCCCCCTCCCTCTTACTGTTAGGATATATGGGCTGTATTGTCACAGTTGATAAGTTATCTAAACCCTCAATTTTTATTGCAGTTAACTTATAACTAATCATCCAGGCCCTGTGCAGTTGTTTTCCACCTGTTAGGCAACCATCAGAAGTACACGATGAGATTCCACCGATTTCTAGTTCTGCAACCAAATTCCTGAAAATATTGGTGAATTCTAATCACAGAAACTGCCGTGGGTGCAATAAAACCACGCAAATTTTGTCATTATGATTCTAAGTCAGTTAAGTCTTCCATTTTGTAAACTTAACAATGCAAGCTAACCTGATAACAACAGCTCTAAATTGCTGGTTGCCTGTGTGTATAGGATTGCTTTCGTTAAGTAACTAAACACAGACCTAGGTAAGTATGTACTGGTGAGGCCTTAATTGGGGCTTGTGCAATTATTGTTTACCATCTCTGTCATTCATCACTGTCAAAGAGTAGTTAAAGTTTGCATAGATATCCTCATCAGCACGTGTATCTTCCTGAAGTTGTTTTGTTTCCCAGTATGTAATATCGCCTGGTTTTGAGGGAGGGAGAAGGCACAACCTTTTTCAGTCCCTAACCAGGCTGATTTTCAAAGACTTTCATGTAGAGAATGATGGCTTAAGAGTTGCAGAGTTTACTCCCACCTGAGAGAAAATTTAATTTGCTTGTTCTTTCCTTTCTTAACTGGTGGTGATGTGTGTTTTGTTCCTTGTGTGTGAGACCTCCCTTTGCCAGCAGCATAAACCTTTATTGACAGATTCGTGCTGTTTCAGGAAGCATCCCTGCACTGAAAAAAGAGGTTGTCGCCTTTCTGAGCATCAACTGGGTTATGCGTTTAGGGAATATCAGCTTTAGAGAGTCTTGGGCATTTTTTTTTTTCTTGGAGCTTTTTTTTTTCTTTTCCTCTCTCTAGTTACCTTTCCTCTTACTACTCCTCCTACTAACTCCAAAATAGGCTTTTTGCATATATTGTTCCTGTGCCCATGGAGCATGTTGTCATAGCCAAGTGCAATGCTTTTAAGGAAAAACAGGGCACTCAGCCTCTGGTAAAACAAACACTTTGTTTTGTATATTCAAAGTGTTATACAAAGGCAAGGTAACAGTATTTTTTTTTCCTTCTTGTTTTATTTTATTGTTTTACCGTGAGAAAGTCTTGTCTCTTGGATCTCCCCAGTTGGTTAGTGGCAGGGATTCTGATTCTAGCTTCATATTCGTTCCTCCAAATATTTCCTCAAAAATATTTACATTTTTTTAATCCTTTTTTATTATTATTTATTTCTACGGGGATTGAGGGGAGGAAAAGGGATTTTCTACATGTTTTAGTTTTTGTTATTTTTGTAGGTGCTGGAGAGAACCTGGAAAACACGATGGCAGCCTTTCACCAGTGAGTACAAATGGAACCAACAATACCTGAATTAGTGGTGTTCTCATTGTCTTGTAGTGGGTGAAGCAATCCAGAAAGATAGGATTTCCATCAGTGGTTTGGGGTGTGTGGTTCTGTTTCTGAAAGTCATCCCTCCCTCAGATGCTGTCTGTGGATTGCTAAACATCACCCCAGTTCGTACAGAAAGGAATTGGGATGCCACAAACTATGATTTGTACACAGTAACATGGTAGAGTGGCAACTGAAAATAAAACTCCTGAGGCCTGATTCTTCCTGTGCTAGCTAATAAAGCATGAAACAATACCACTTCCATGTTTAATGGCAATTACTTCGAGTAATTTACTTATCATGGTAAAGCTATTTTTCGTAACTAATATCACACACTGGTTTTTCTGGATACGTTGGTGTTTCCCAAAAGGTATTTCAGGTCATAGCCTATAGCAATATGTCAATTAGCGTACGAGGCTGGGTTTCAGGAAGCCTGAATCTGGTGACTGCTCTTACGGTTGTAAGCAGTTCTCTTGGATACTCCACAGTTTCATGCTATTCAGTTCCCTCCTCTACGTAGAAGGTTAATCATTTGTCTCCTAGAATTATTGTGGCTGAAATCCTAATGTTAACTAACTTCTAATATACCACCTGCAAAGCGATTAAAAATGTTTGTGTTGTATTTTTTCCCTTCATACACATACTTCATTGGCACAGTGTGTTGAAAGCCCCTGATCTAGGGGTTTAAAATGGAGTTGGTGCTGGGAAGCCTTTTAAAGCCTCCACCATGTAAGCAGTGAATTCTAACCAAAACCTCAAAGGCATTTGAAAAAGCAGCGTATCTAAAACTCCAGCTGCCAATGAGAAGTGACCAAACTATGTAGGCTTCTCTTCATTTGGTTTAGGTTTTTCAAATTTGCTTTGTGCTAAGTAGCCTCAGCAGGTTGCACGTTTCCTTGCAGACAGAGGAGTGCCAGCTTTTCCAACCAAACAGTGCTATTGAAAGTACTGCAGTATTTTCTATCTCCATGGAAGCTTAGCACAGTTTTGTGTTGTTGGTTGTGGTTTGTTTTTTTTTTTCCTGCTGGCCTGCCTTTTTTCCAAGTCTGCTACCACACTTTTCTGGAAAGTGCTGCGCTTTCTTTCTTTAACCATTTCTTAATTTTCATTTAGTGTCGCACTGGTTTTATATGTATAGGGCTCTTGCAAAGAAAGTTAAAGCATAACCTATTTTTATTTCATTCCCAGAAGTAAGCTGTGCTACTTAAAGAGTAAGGACTGTGCTAGGACTCAGATAATATTTTTGTGATAATACAGATTATTTGTCTGACTCTCTTGTGACCATTTTAACTGTTTTACAACTATGGTGTAACAAATGCATTGAGGTTCGCTTTTTGAACTCCTCACAACTGTCCATAGCAAAGTTCCATTACATGGCTTGAGGTTGCCTTGGTTGAATAATAAAGGCATATTACTTCTGCAGAAAGCAGAGTCAGAGCAATTACCTTGCATTAGGCAGTAGAAAGTCTTCTGGCTTCCTCCGCGAAGGGATAAAGGCTTCGTCCTTCCCATCTGCTCATTCCCATCTCCACCGGTACGCTGGCAAAAGGAACTGCGTAGAAAATTGGTGTTCTGCATGGCAAAAAGCTATCTGGATTGGCTCTGATGGCTGGTATGAACTAATCAATTTGTAATCCATCAGATTTTGCATGAAGCCAAGTCGGGCATGTCTGCAAGAGCTGTTTCTGCAGGTTTGGACAAGCAGACATATTTGACTGTTGATGTAGTTGAATCCAAAAAAAGAATGTGTCTGCACCGTAAGACCTACCCCTTGGTTTTGCCTTGTTAATAGTAACCTAAGTATTGACAAGCAAATGGTTTTATTTACACTTTAACAGTGATTGGAGAATATTTAATACTGTTGCATGATAATGGAGAAATTATTATAGTAATAAACAAACAAGTGTATGGGGGAGGAGGCCGTATTGATAGTTTCAAGTTCTAGACTAGCTTAATTTACAGATATTTTGGAAAGTGATTATAAGATTTTTGTACCCAAGACAGTATTTTTTGGTTTTGCATAGTAAAAAGCCTAACATT